CCATGAGAATCCACCTCAAAAGACAAAACCGCTTCTAAAGAACCATCATCAACCAAGAGGGTCTTCCTGTGGAAGTTATCAACCCTGGAGATTGCAGCTATCTACTTCTCCTTTGATATGTCTATAATTTGCATGTTTTACACATCCATTTATCATCATTTTGAGTCTAGTTTCATTCATCTTTCATAGCATTCATCATCATTTTGCACATTTTGCATGTTTAAGTGTGTCTAGCATTAGTCTTGCATGCATTTTGCATTCTGGAGTTGTTTCAGGTGTTTCGGAGCTATTGGTGTTCAGAAAGAGGAAAAATAGAGCTCAAAGTCACATTTGGACCATTCTACTCGATCACCAGTAGAAAAGAGGGAAGCAGTCAGCTCAGCAGACCATCAAGACCCTTATACTCGATCACAGGGCAGTATATCATGACAGACTACCCACATACTCGATCGCAGGGTTGAAGAAGCAGTCCATCCTGACAGTCTACCCATATACTCGATCGCAGGGTTGAAGAAGCAGTCCAGATCACGCTATCATCCATTCTACTCGATCACCACCTCGACCCTTTGATCAATCCGCACTCAACCAGACAACCTGAGCATAGAAAAGAGAAGAGGAGAGAAGGAACCACTTGATCGCGGCTTCGATTCACGCTCGACCATGAAGCCCACTTTGAGCCCATATACTCGACCTCCATGTTCCATGGGCCTGTTAAGCGGACTCGAACCCTAGTATTGTTTTAGTAGCCGCTTTTGCTTCTGCAACTTTGTATTTTTCGTTTTCTTCTAAGTTATTGAGATTTCGCTTTCATTTCCTTGTTCATTTTCTGTTTCATTTCCTTTGATCTTTGAAGTTATGCAATTATAAATCGTTTCTGTGTCTTTGAGCATGTTGTCTGAGTAGTGACTAGGATTTCTGAGGACGGGATAGAGTAGATGTGAGACCCTTAGTCGATTCTGATGGTTAAGTGTAGTTTTATTGAATCCCTTCTGGATTAGTTGTGTTTACTGCTTATTCCTTTCTGATCAACTGGAATTCGATCAGAAGCATTCCCGCATCCAAAAGGTGTTCGATGGAATGCTTGATCTACTAATTCCAGTGATAATCGTCTCTATCCCAAGGGATTGGCCGTTTAGAGCGGTTATTGACTTTAACATTCGGTTCTTATTGCCTGCATAGTTAGATTCCGTTAATGGGAATTAGTCTGGGCTAGCTTTGCTTGAGGATTTGTTGCACGGGAGTAAACAAATCTGTTGTTGAACCTGTTGTCTAGGGATAGCTTCATTGAGAATTGTTAACCATCGAAATTGATTATGGAGTCCACACTATTCGATTACCCCATCCTTAGGAGTTTCTTATCCAATTGATTTATCTGTTTACTTACCTGCTGCATTCACCTTCTTTGTTACTTGCTATTGAGTTTTGATAATTGTCTGTTTTTGGACCCTTATACTCTATCACATCCTCCTCCTAGCAGTGAGCCTTGTGATAGAGTATATTAGTCATTTTTGTGTCTTTTTACTACTTTATGTACCAATCACTAGGACTGTTAGAAAAACAACCAATTCATGCATGTCTTGACTTAGTGCTTTCTGATCATATCTCATTTGTTTGCATCACACCTGATTGGATTGACACCTAAAATACTACAACGACAGGATAGTGTTTTAGGATAATTGATCGTAAAAACCTATTATCATTCTTCCCAATTTCGGATAATTGATCCTTAAGAGCTTTAGTCTCGGCGAGCATTTTTCGCTTATCCCGAGCATTCAGGCTCGAGGCGTCTCTTTCTTCAGTAGGAGGATCAAGGGGGTGAGTTTGACCATCTTTGATAGCGAGCCCCGCTTTATGAATACGTTGAAGGGTGAAGGAATTCCAATTTGTTTCACCCTCAGAAACGATTCGAAAGAAAGACAAGAAGTCAACAGTTGGGCGGGGGATCGTCTGGTTCCCTGAAACAAAGTGTTGAGTTAAGAATTCTATGTCTTTCGCGCAAAAATAGTGAAAGATAATAAAAGATGATTCTAACCATGTTTGGGCGACCAATTTGGGAGAAGAAGACCGGAAAGCCCTTGGACGGAATGAGGATTAATTCGGAAAAAGAACCAGTATTTCCTCCAAGGCCCGACATTTAGGGGCATTAATTCGATGAGGTTACGGTCAAAAATAGGATTCACGAAAAAAATACCCGCTGCCGCAGAATCACGGGATCAAAATAGCCCTAAGAGTTCGCTGGTGGTAAGAGAAAACCCTGCCTCCGCCGAGACGGTCAGGGTGCTCAGAACGTACCGGAGGAAGTTGGGAGCCATTTGGGGAAAAGCAATCCCTAGATGAAGGAGGTACAGAAGGAGAACTTCCGGTATGGGAAAAAAAAAACCACAACCTTTGAAATAGACTTCGTACGCACAACAGTAACCCTCTCGTACCATTTTCGGAGACTCGGTGGGTCTATGAAGAGAAAATTCTATTTCCTGAGGAATGTTACAAAGGCGACGAAGAGCGCCAAGGGAAGCATGGGTCGATTGAGACCTGAAATGCGGACCGAATTTATCTCCCGTCAGGGTGAAGACTTCGTCCCTTCTGGGAACAGGGATTCCTTGGCTATCATCTTCATTGTCTGAAACGTAGACGGCTGGGGAAGACATTTTTTTTTTACTAAGAAATTTTTCTTTCTTTGGTTTGGTAAAAGCTTTCGGGGGTGAATTTACGCTGTAAAAGCCGTCGTTCCATTTAACTCTATTTAGCGGAAATACGCCTCGAGAATATTGGGAAGTGGGACGGTTTTCCCCGCAATATTAATATAAAATTAGAAAATTAATGATGACGGTTATCAGGGAAATCAAATCATTTGATTATCCGAGATCGGCGTAATAGCATAAAACATGGAATAATTCCGGAATATTAAAGATCTCGAGTCATTAATTATTGTTTACTTAAGTCTTCCAAGCCGAGCACTCAGCTCGCAAGACTTGGGGGGCTAAATGTTAGGGTCGGATACCACACATTTTCAGTAGGATCCACTTGGATCTGTCCACGTCATTATTACATAATAATCTTCTTGGAATTAAAGATATTTTATTATGAGAATCAAGCTTAACCAGTCGGGAGTTCGATTCGGTTTACTAAAAGAGTTCGATCTTTACCAGTACGGAGTTCACTCTTATTCAACATACAGTTCGCATAGAGAAATGCCGAAGTGAGGAGAATATTGTTCGAGGCTCGCGGTAGCGTCATGACGCGGGAGTTCGGAGTCAACAAGAAAGAGTTTGGAAGATCCACGCGAAGCCCAAGATAGTTCGAATTCAAGCCGTTTCGGTCAAAATGTAACTTACATGATTAATGTGGATCAATGCGATTATGAGCAGTAAATGACCGCATTGATCATGTTTTCTCTATAAAAACAACCTCAAACGCATGTGTTTGGGGGGACGAATCTTGTTATTCACTACTTCTAAGCAATACAATATATTTTTCTGTCTTTACTATTTTCGCAAGGCATTTTGTACCTCTTTTTTGTCAAATTTCTTTACTTCTTTTCTTGGTTGATTTCTTTTCGCATTCTCATATTCATTTCCTGATTTTACAAGAGTTTTTCTCCACTAAAATACTTAAAGATAATCGAGTGTGAATCCTACATCCACAAAGAAGTTTCCAAAGCAACAATTTCGAACAACTTCGGAACCAAGGAGAAGCTAGCTTCCAAGGTAACCTTTAGACCCCCGCCACTAACGTTTTCTCATTGTGCTAGTGAAGATTGGAAATCCACCCAAAGGAGCCGTGAAGGACGTTTTCATGCACCTTACCCAAGGAGAGCCGAGAACGACCAACCGAGGTTCACCCCAAACCGTCTCTCTTTTCACCAACCAAACCCACCTATTCAAGATCATTCTCGTGTACCATGAAGGCAGAAAAGTTATGAGTAGAGACTTGAGAGCTTAATGAGCCAATACTTGGATCAACAAGCTTTGGATACAAGGACACTACACGCAAGGATCGACAAGATCGATGGTGTTTTTTCAGGAAAGATCGATGAACATTCTTTTAAATTCAAAAGATTAGGAGATCATGGTGCTAAAGATGCGGCCACTATGGAGAGGAAATTTCAAATGTTTGAGGAGGACCAAGAGAGGTACCTCAAAAGTGCTCAAGAAAACGCCATCAACACTAGTTCTAGGGACAAATTGAGCAACCATATATAGCTATAGGTCTAAGATTACTACTTTATTTCAGAGAACATGGAAATAAAAAATGCAGATGATTTCGTTCTTAGTAAGTTCAGTTGGATGGGTTATGATCACAACTACTTAGACTCCCCTTAGAGACATAGAGGTGGAGGACTAGCGTTATTTTGGAAACAAGGAATAAATCTGGTAGTTATTTCAGATTGTAGTAACTACATAGACACTTGTGTAACAGTCAAAGGTAAAACGTTTTTTGCTACGTTTATGTTTGGGGAACATAATCATTCTAAAAGAAAGGCTATTTGAGACTAGAGTTAGCTGATGTAAGAGATGGTCATAGGTTTCTATCTGGTGACTTTAATGATATTGTGGATAACTCGGAGAAAGTGGGTGGCCCAATCAGAGGAGAAGGAACCTTTGTGGATTTTAGTTTTCTCTCGGAGTGTGATTTGTATGATCTTAGACATTCTGGTAATTGTCTATCTTGGAGGGGTAATAGACATACTCATGTTGTCAAATGCAGATTGGATAGGGCAATTGCACATAGCAAATGGGCAGATGTTCCCTCGTGGGAGATGTGAATATCTAGACTTCAAAGGGTCTGATCATAGACCGTTAATTTCTTACTTTTCACCAGAGAAGAAGAAGAAGGCGAGATCTTTCAGGTATGACAGAAGGTTATGGGACAATGTGGAGGTACAACGGTTAGTCAAAGATTTGAGGCTAGGAGATGAGAGAAGTTATGTGCAAGTGCAAACTTCTAAGGTTAGAAGAGCAATAATTTAGTGGAGCCGAGAAAAGCATAGGAACAATTCAATGGAGATTGAGAAAAAGAAGATTGAATTAGAAAAGGCAATGGTAAGTCCTTGTTCTAATGAAGAGTTTCTCAAGAGGATCAGTGATGAGCTAAAAGCAGCTTATAATGAAGAGGAGTTTTGGAAACAAAGGAGTAGGCAGCTGTGGTTGAGCTGCAGGGATACCATGTTTGTTATTCGCAGAGGACACCATATTTTTCTGTAAAACAAATGTGAAAAGCTACAGGGAATTAAAAGTGATCTTGGCAAAGTATGAAAGGGCTTCAAGGCAACAAATTAATGGACTTAAATCCTCTATATCTTTCTCTAGAAAAGCCTCAGCGATATTGAGGCAAAGAGTTAAACTCTCCTTAGAGATTGAGAAAGAGGGAGGAGGAGTAAGTAAATACATTGGATTGCCTCAACATTTTAAATGAAGAAAGAATGATTTGTTCACATCTATCTTGACATAATTCGACAAAAAGCTCTAAGTTGGTCTAATAGGTTCCTCTCAAATGTGGGAAAACTGATTATGCTACAGAGTGTGCTTTCAATTATACCAACCTATGCAATGTGGTGCTTTCAACTACCAAGATCCTTATGTAAAGAATTCAATCTACACTTACTAGATTCTGGTGGGATTCAAGAAAAGATAAAAAAAAGAGATGTGTTGGGTCGCGTGAGATAACACACTCTACGTGATGGAGGTCTTCTGATGCAGGCAAGTTTTCTGCCTTTGTTCTATACTACAAGATAGGGACATACATGTGTCACGCATAAAAAAACTTCTTGAGAATCTCACTTCCTTTTCTTGTTTTCACTGTCATTGTAGTTGGATGGTAAAAGCCATGTGATATATGCAGAGGAAGAAGCTGCAGGAACTCGTCTTCTCATTGATGGAAGAACTTGTTTGCTACTTGTTTCCACTGATTTTTTTTTTTTTTTTACCATATTACTTCACGTTACTCTAAATTCACTTTTAGCTTTAGGCTGTCTGTCAATTTTGGCTTATTCAGAATGCCCACGATCCTTCGAAGTTGATGGCTGAGACACCGTGCAAGTTGCTGAGGTATTTGGTTTCAGACAACAACAATATTGATGCTGATGCTGAAGTTGAGGTCATGAAGATGTGCATGCCACTTCTTTCACCTGCTTCAGGAGTTATCCATTTCAAAATGTCTGAAGGATAAGCCATGTAGGTGGAAAACTGCTCCATTGCTAAAAAAAAATCCTACAGTTTTGTCGAAAGTGATTAACCCGTCCATTATTTTTTCACAGGCTGGTGAACTTATAGCCAAGCTTGATCTTAATGATCCTTCTGCTGTAAGAAAGGTCGAACCCTTTCATGGAGGTTTCCCACGATTAGGGCTTCCAACCGCAATTTCCGGTAAAGTTCATCAGAGATGTGCTGCAACTTTAAATGTTGCTCGCATGATTCTTGCCGACTATGAGGACAAAGTAGATGAGGTAAACGCTATTTGTTTTTCCTATTAGATCCAACTTTTCTATTAGATTATTTGACTCTGAGATTCCTCATATATTGTAGGTTGTTCAAGACTTGCTTAATTGCCTGGATAGCCCTGAACTGCCATTTCTTCAGTGGCAAGAGTGCTTTGCAGTTCTGGCGACACGACTACCTAAAAATCTCAGGAACATGGTATACTATTCATAATGCGGTTTTCTTTACAGTGATATTTTTTTAACTTCAGGACTTTAATGCTTTTCTAAATAAAACTCTATATCAGCTGAATCAAAGTATAGGGAATTTGAGAATATCTCCAGAAACTCTCTAACCACTGATTTCCCTGCCAAACTCTTAAAAGGCATTCTTGATCAGGTGATTGACTATTATTTCTTCGATTAGAAGTACCATCCTGTTTTTTACTCTCTGAACTTTTTTCTGCTACTTCTTGCAACAGGCACATGTCTCTTCTTGTGATGAGAAAGAGAGAGGTGCCTTGGCAAGGCTCATTGAACCGTTGATGAGCCTTGCAAAATCTTATGAAGGTGGTAGAGAAAGTCATGCGCGTGTTATTGTTCATTCCCTCTTTGAAGAATATCTATCAGTAGAAGAATTATTCAATGATAATATGCTGGTACTATATGGTTCAATAGCTATTTAACAGAATTTTTTTTACTAGCGATGTCTGAAGCATCTAAATAATCATTTAATTTTTCTTGAATAGGCTGATGTTATAGAACGCATGCGCCAACAATACAAGAAAGATCTGTTGAAGATTGTGGATATAGTGCTCTCACACCAGGTCTGTGATCATCTTTCTTAGACCAAATTTTTCTTTTCGTTATCGCTATGTCACTGAATTAGTTCTTCTTTTCAGGGTATTATAAATAAAAATAAACTCGTTCTACGGCATCTAGAGCAAAATAAGAGGGAGGGTTTGGTCTCTATGATATCCAAAGCTTTAACGAAGCCCTTCTTGTAAAACTAAGCTGGAGAGTGCTGATAATAGATTTTTTCACTCAATTAATCCTAAGGCACTATCATGTCGTTGTAGTACTATAGGGTGTCAATCCAATCTAGTGTGATGCAAACAGATGAGATATGATCAGAATTTGCTAAGTCAAGCCAAGCAGAGAGTTGTTGTTTTCTAACAGACCTAATGCGATGAAATAACAGAAATGAAATGAAACTGGAATGCAAACTAGCAATAGCAGGCAGTAGAATAACAAAGCAGGTAAGATAATAGGCAATCAAATGGATAAGAGATTCCTAAAGACAGGGTTATCGAATAGCGTGGTCTCCTTAATCTATTTAGATGGTTGACAAAACTTCACAGAAGCTATCCCTTGACAACAAGTTCAAAAGCAAATCAATTCACCACCGTGATAGAAATTCTCAAGCAGAGCTAGACACAGACCTAATCACCATTAGCGATCTCTAACTAAGAGGCAATATCGAATCAACTTGTTAAAGCCAATACCCGCTCTAACGGCCAATACCTTGGGATAGAGACGAGTATCTCTGGAATTAGTGGATCAGACATTCCATCAAACACCTTTTGGGTGCCGGAATGTCTGGATTCATATTCCAGTTGATCAGAAAGGAACAAGCAATAAGCGCAACTAATCCAGAAGGGATTCAAACAATCTAAACTCAACCATCTAAATCGACTAAGACAACCACGACTACTCTATCCCATCCTCAGAAATACAATTCACTACTCAGACATAATCAAAAACAATAGCAATGAAACGATTGAAAACATGATAACAGGAAATGATAAAGACTGAAACGAAAACTGAATTATAAAATACTTTAAAGCAAATACAAAGTCGTAGGAAGAACACACTGTGGCTACGAAACCAAGTCTAGGTAAAAACTGAAAATAAAGACTGGATGCCCTAGGGAAAACCCTTAGAGGATGCTTATATAAGCGAGAAAAGTTAAATAAGGAAAGTTCGAGATAGTGGTCTTCACATCGAGACCCTGCGATCGAGCATCTGATGGGCTGAAATGGGCCTCCCTATGATCGAGTGAAACTGATCAAACTGGGATTCGGGAACTCCGTCTTGCGATCGAGTGGTCTGTAGTGAAGACGAGATAGAATGGTCCAGCGACCATGCGATCGAGTAGATGACGTGAGGTTGTGATCCAGTGGTTTCTTCAGCTTCTCTTCTCTTCCGTATGCTCAGCTTGTCTGGTTGAGTGAAGAATGAGTAGATGGGCTTCTAATGACAAGGTGGTGATCGAGTGGTGTAGAGTGGGTGATTCCTCCGGTTTTGCGATCGAGTGTAACTAAGTGCTTGCATCTCCGGGGTTGTGATCGAGTGGTATGTCCTCCATGACAGCTTCTGCTAGATCTTGCGATCGAGTGGTCTCTTTTGAAATCGCTCTGGGGTTGTGATCGAGTGGTTTTGGCCTTCATGACAGTTTCTGGGGTTGTGATCGAGTGATTTGCTCTGTCAGGGCTCCGAGGTTGCGATCGAGTGCTTTGGCTTAAGGCGTGATTGAGCGTTCTGAATTTCTGTTTGTTTCTCCTCTGTTTGAACTCCAAAAGTATCCAAAGTACCTGAAAACAACCAAATATGCAATGCACATGCAATCCTAATGCAAAAACGTCCTAAGTATGCAAAACACACTAAAACGCCTACTGATGAGATGAAATGTGATTGAAACAATGACAAAGTGATGAAGAATGAATGCTTAAATCATGCAAATCATAGACATATCCACTCCCCCAAACTTAGTCTTTGCTTTCCCTCAAGCAAACAAGAAAACATAAGCGGGGGGAGAGGTTTGAAGTTGGGGACTGAGAACCAAAACATGTGATGAAGTAATTAAGCTCAATGTCCAAGTTATTAGTTCTAAGATGCGAGGTGAACGACTTCTACTTAAAAACTTTAGCCATGATCTGTTATGATCCAAACCCACACTCGATTGCATAATGCGTCAAAATCAACCAATCCCTTTAACATTCATTAAGTTCAAAAACATGAATCAAGCTGTGCATCGTTAGTGAACTCGTTTGGCTAAGGACGGGCTATGAGACAAAGAATGTCCCTTTAAGGTGGTTCAGATTTTAATAACAGGGGACTCTCAATGAAACTGGACTGAGCTTTAGGAGAATGCTAAAGGTAAGTGCCAACCTATGCATACAAGAATAGTACCCCATCTACCCAATGACATAAACCGTGAATAACAAGTAGATGGTCCTATTTCTAAACCCATTGATGATCCTAAGTCTACCCTTTTGCACTAAAGGCATATTTCGATTTTTTTCTTGGATCAATCTGTCTTTACTTCTCTCTGGCTCTTGTTCTTAAGGAGAAACTTTCTTATACTCTATGAGTCTAGTCTAGTGAATTGGTTTTTCTTAAACTCTTATGGCTCTTATAATCTTTTCTATTTTTGTTGCCATCTTTTTTTTTTTTTTTAGAGCATAACTTAACAATTCTGTACTTCCCAAACATTCACTAGACCTGAGTATGATTTTCAGCTTCCTTCTCCTAAAGACTCTAACCCGTTTTTTTTTTCTTTTCACACTCAATCTCAATCCCCAAATAAGTTCCCACCTAGTCCTACCAAGTCCGAAAACGCGGATTGGAACTACATGAGATACTACTCTTGTCGGCTCAAACCTAACACGTTCTACCAAGCTCAATCCTGAAATAGGCCTCACATGCTCTCACAAATAACATGGCTTGAAAGAAGGGTTGGTTAAGGGTGAAGAAACTACTCCAATAACAGAAGCAGCTACTTGGATTAACAAGAGTGGTGAATAAGTGAAAGAAAATCCAAGTATGTATTCTATCCACGAGTTCAAAACCAATGCAAACATGATAATTATAAGTCAGATTCAAGTTCAAATTGACAGGGAGAGGTGTCATGACATGCGATCGAGTGGTTTCTATAGAACATGGTGCGGTTTTACTTCAAAGTCATTCAAATGCATCAGACAACTAGTAACGAGGGCATTGAGTTTATTCTGTAAATCAACATGCTTACAAGGTTATTTCCTCATTATCCCCTATGCATATGCAACAATCCTAAATGAAACACTCTAGACTCGATCCTAAATGCAATGCAACTACAGGAACACTCTGTTTTTGTGGAATACATTTTCAGAAATTTTCAAAAATTTTTGTTTTTTTCTATGTCTTAGATGAGATGCAGACTCAAATGATATTCACAAAAAAAACAAGTCAAATACGTCTTGAACCCTCCTCCAAACTTAAATTACACAGTCCCTTGTGTAATAAAAATTTGTGAAATCAAGATAAACACAAGAAACAAAAACAAAAACGGTATTTACAATTGTGTTTTGGTGTGTTACCTCAGTAGAATTGCCTAGAGATGTAGTCATTCATCTCCTCTTGAGTATAATCCAAGTATGTATTCTATCCACGAGTTCAAAACCAATGCAAACATGATAATTATAAGTCAGATTCACGTTCAAATTGACAGGGAGAGGTGTCATGACATGCGATCGAGTGGTTTCTATAGAACATGGTGCGGTTTTACTTCAAAGTCATTCAAATGCATCAGACAACTAGTAACGAGGGCATTGAGTTTATTCTGTAAATCAACATGCTTACAAGGTTATTTCCTCATTATCCCCTATGCATATGCAACAATCCTAAATGAAACACTCTAGACTCGATCCTAAATGCAATGCAACTACAGGAACACTCTGTTTTTGTGGAATACATTTTCAGAAATTTTCAAAATTTTTTTGTTTTTTTCTATGTCTTAGATGAGATGCAGACTCAAATGATATTCACAAAAAAAACAAGTCAAATACGTCTTGAACCCTCCTCCAAACTTAAATTACACAGTCCCTTGTGTAATAAAAATTTGTGAAAGAATTCAAGATAAACACAAGAAACAAAAACAAAAACGGTATTTACAATTGTGTTTTGGTGTGTTACCTCAGTAGAATTGCCTAGAGATGTAGTCATTCATCTCCTCTTGAGTATAATCCATGGGCATGACAGGTCCTAGGTGTGGTTCTGCCATCTCCTCATAATCGTGCCTGATTGCAACCCCAGCAGGTTGTGGAGCATCGGTGAAGTGAGTGAAGACATGTTGTCTTATTGAAGCATGAGTTGTCATTGAAGTTCTTGTCGGACACTTTACCTACCCTTGCGATCGAGTGAAATGGGTTAGCCAAATAAATGACCACTCGATCCCACCAAGTTCGTGTTGCGATCGAGTGGTTTGAAAATATTGTTCAAAAGGATGTGATCCAAAACAGCTAGATCGCATGCCCGAGCTCTCCACTCCTATGTTGCGATCGAGTGGTTTAGTAAAAATTGGAAAAAATTTATTTCAACACTCGATCGCACACTTGCTTATTACTCCAGATGCTATTCATTTCCTGACAACCAAAGACACAACCAAAACAAATCAAAAATAACAAGAAAGTAAAATTTATATACAAAGATAGTCATGGGACTCCCTCCCAAGTGAGCTTGTTTTAAGTCTCTAGCTTGACTCCTCACACTTATTAGGCTTAGGGAGGTTTTTGGAGATGAAATGAGGTCTCATCTTCTTCCTCAGTAGATAGATCATCAAACTCAGCATGCTCTCTTGACAAGTCTGCATCTGAGTACTCAATGGCCGTTTCTTCAAAGTAAGCTTCTTTCTGATCAGCCGGATAGTCTTCTTTTATAGACCATTCTAGTGTGAATTCATTTTTTTCTTTGCTAACCTGAGCAATGGCTTCATCATTTGGTACGTCCCTGATATTGAGTGGTCCTTGGTTGGCTTTCCCATGGAGCTCTTTGATTTGATCCTTTAGATTTCTCAAAGTGTCTGTTGATA